AGTGGCTCTTCCTCTGTTGTAACTGTTTCCTGTCTCACTAGGAACAGTCGGCTGATCTGAACCACAGGCTGGGTGTGCGCGTCTGTTTTTGGCCTTGTTATTTTTTAATGGAGTCTACGATATATATATATATATATATATATATATATATATATATATATATATATATATATATATATATATATATATATATATATATATATATATAAATTTTTTTTTCTTTTCTCTGTGTCTGATCATCTGCAGACCAGCAGATGAAAACTGAATTCAAAATAACTTTTTAAAAATTTGTTAAATAACTTCCTAATGTTAGCATAGGTTGCATAAAAATAAATGTTTCTCTTTTGGGGTCCTTTAAATCGCCCAAAAGTAATTATAATTGCACAATGCCAAAACCAGGTTAAGAATAATATTGTAAATATTTGGTAGAACTGCTCTATCAAGTGTCTTACTTTTGTCAAACATTTTAGTTTCTCTCCACAAATCTGACTGTCGTTTATTTTGGACAAATGTATCACAACACAAGCTTTTCATATCAGCCAAATTATTTATTTATTTATTGTGGTTTTATATATTTGAAAATAGGACCAAGGGATAAAAACACTGAATTTAAAATATAACCCTATTTAAATATCAACCTGACCTACATGACTAAACAAATACCACATGATCAATCCCTCTTGAAACATAAACGGAAACTAAATGGACATAAATATCAGTTGTTAATGTTATTCCAGTTTCTGTATCAGATCGAGACCGATATCCTTTAATAATAACCAATATTGGCTCATTCTGATAAACCCTGCACCCCTAGTCTGGATGATCTTTTCAGGCTGACTTTATGTCCACGTTTAGGTTGTAGTTTCATTAGACGGCACAACATGTCTCCCAAACCTCCCTTATTCTCTGAGAGCTTTTGTAATCTGTAAACTGGCTTTTTATGTTGCTGTTAGAGTAATAACATGTTCTTTGCTTTTTGAAACCTTTTGAAGACTGAAGTCATTTAGGTGTGAACAATAAGATTCTCTCACCAGGTTTAGCATCTTAACAAAGATTTAGATTCTCTCACTAAAAGTCATTAATCTCTAGAAACATGTCTCCTTTTTGAACAGAAATGGCAGCTTACAGATCAAATATTTAGCTTTTTTATGTCTTCCAAAGACAACTGTTGGCAGTTCTGCATATGATGAAATATTACCTTTAGCACCAAAGTAGTATGATCAAAAAGCTTTGTCCCAAATGTCGCACTGACACTTTTATTAACAAACAACTGGAGATATACATGAAAAATGATTCAATATTAACATCCTGGCAAGTATTTAAAGAAATCCTCGAAATTAAAAGGTGTTTAGAGAAAGAGGGAAGGAGGGCGATGGGAAGTTCAGCAAAGACAAATAGGGAAGAAGGGAAAGTAGCCGGGGGATAGAAAGTATAGTTATAAACTGATGATTTTCCCATGATGTCACTTAGGGAAATGTTACGTTACAGTGGAGCCTAAAAGTATGTAGTCAGCCACTGATCGTGCAAGTTCTCCTGCTTAGAATAATGAGAGAGGTCTGTAATTTTCTTCATAGGTACACTTCAACTATGAGAGACGAAATAAGAAAAAAGAGACCCAGGGAATCAAAATATTAGGATTTGTAAACTTTGGTGGAAAATAAGTATTTGGTCACCCACAAACCAACAAGGTTTCTGGCTCTCACAGACCTGTAACTACTTCTTTAAGAAGCTCTTCAGTCCTCCACTCATTACTGTATTATTGGTGCCTGTTTGAACCCGTTATATGTATAAAAGACACCTGTCCACAGCCTCAAACAGTCAGACTCCAAACTCAACCATGGCCAAGACCAAAGAGCTGTTGAAGGACACCAGGAAGCAAACTGTAGACCTGCACCCGGCTGGGAAGAGTGAATCTGCAATAGGCAAGCAGCTTGGTGTGAAAAAATCAACTGTGGGAGCAATTCTAAGAAAATGAAAGACAAAGAAGACCACTGATAATCTCACTCGATCTGGGGCTCCACACAAGATATCATCCCGTGGGGTCAAAATGATCATGAGAACGATGAGCAAAAATCCCAGAACAGCACTGAGGGACCTGATGAATGACCTGCAGAGAGCTGGAAACAAAGCAACAAAGGCTATTTTATGTAACACATTACACAGAGAGGGACTCAAATCCTGCAGTGCCAGACGTGTCCCTCTGCTCAAGCCAGTGCATGTCCAGGCCCGCCTGAAGTTTGCCAGAGAGCATATGAATGATCCAGAAGAGGATTAGGAGAATATCATGTGGTCAGATGAAACTTTTTGCTAAAAACCCAACTCGTTGTGTTTGGAGGAAGAAGAATCAAGAGTTGCGTCCCAAGAACACCATACCTACTGTGAAGCATGGGGGAGGAAACATCATGCTTTGGGGCTGTTTTTCTACAAAGTGGACAGGAAACCTGATCCATGTTGAGTAGGGGTGGAACGGTTCACAAAATCCACGGTTCGGTTCGATTCACGGTTTCGTGGTCACGGTTTTCGGTTCAGTTCGATTCGGTATATGTTGATTTTTACACCGAAAGCCCATAAAAATGTATGAAATTAATGAAAAAATACCCCCAAAAATAATGGATTGTAATTATTTTAAATGATCCGCGGAAACCCTGGATCATTTCCGTATGTTCTGCTGCTTTGAATTTAATCATCTCGCGCATGCTCTCTACCATCTCCAAGGGACTCAGAGCGGAGCGGACGGGAGCCACAGTGGAGGCTGCAGGCTTTGCTTTGAGCAGCCGGTCTGGAGCGCAGCAGGGCGGAGCGGGGGTTGCTGACGGAGTATGAGGGATTTCGGGGTTAGCATGACATGTTGGTCATGTTGCTGTTAGCATAAACAAAACGTGTTGCACAATGCACGCACACTGTTGCACTTTTATCCACAACTTTCTTTGCGCCGTCATCGTAGGTCACTCTAAATGCAAAGTGGTCCCATACAGCAGACCTATAAAGTGCTGCTGGCGCGTCTTCCAACTCCTGTTCTTTCCCACTCGCTAGTCCGACACAATTCTCCACAACAACTGATTTTTTCCCCTGCTACATCCAGCTACGCTGCGCGCTTCTTCTTCTTCTTGTTTACTACTGGTGGTTGGCTTTGGTTGCAGTACCGCCACCTTCTGCTCTGGAGTGTAAACGCTTTGCCTATGAGAAAAAGGAGCAGCGCATGAACCGAACGAAACACACGCGAAACCGAACCAAGACAGTCGAACCGAACGGTTTGGACGGTTTTCATAAATCGTCCCATCCCTAATGTTGAGGGAAGAATAAACAGGGCCATGTATCGTGAGATTTTAAGCCAAAACATTCCATCAGTGAGAGCCTTGAAGATGAAACGTGGCTGTATCTTCCAGCATCACAATGATCCCAAACACACCACCCGGGCAACGAAGGAGTGGCTCAGTAAGAAGATTTTCAAGGTCCTGGAGTGGCCTAGGCAGTCTCCAGGGGTGTTGAAAGTCCATGTTGCCCAGCAACAGCCCCAAAACATCACTGCTCTAGAGGAGATCTGCATGGAGGAATGGGCCAAAATACCAGCTACAGTGTGTGCAAACCTGGGGAAGATGGGAAATGTTTGACCTCTGTCATTGCCAACAAAGATTATGCTACAAAGTATTGAGTTAAACTTCAGTTATTGACTAAATGCTTATTTTCCAGCATAGTTTACAAATAAATTCTTTAAAATTCCTACAATGTGATTTCCTGGAGCTTTTTTCTTTTCTTATTTCGTCTCTCATATTTGAAGTGTGCCTATGATGAAAATTACAGACGTCTCTCATTATTCTAAGTAGGAGAACTTGCACGATCAGTGGTTGACTAAATACTTTTTGGCCCCATTTTATATAAATGGTCTAAAAAATAAATTAAAAAACCTGCACAGGTTCGCCTCAATTTAACTGTGCTGTTTTAAAATAACCCCAAAAGTTTATTGACCCATATATTGGAAGCTTGGACCGTATAAACTTCTAAATTCCAAGAATGGAAGAAAACAAATTAGTCCTCATTCTAATTGTCAGTAAATATTTTATAATTTTAGTAATCCTAGTTGACCAAATGTTAGTTTATCCTAATTGATGTTTTTTATACAGCATAGTGAATAAGCATCTGATATTCGCTGTAAATAATAAAGGTGTCCATTGTTTTTTTAATCTAATTTTTGACTTCAGATCCCATCAAACTGTCACTGCTACTCGTGTGGGTTGAGAGATACTATCATATTTCCATTTATGCTGCTGATATTATATTGTTATGAAATTGTGTTTGATTTCCTGTCAAACCTCAGTGTGATGCCATTTGTGCCAGGCTTTTAACTTTCTTCTTGAAAAAAAAAAAGTTGCCATAAAAGGGCAGAGCTGAGGTGTGAAATGATTCATTGCCATCACCAGTGTGTGTGTCTGTGTGTGTGTTGCACACTATGCTGGTGGAAATGGCCGTGGGAGGACTCCACTTCCTTATGTGGTTGAACTTAATGGACGAGCAGGAAACATGTGGGCGAGGTGTTGATGTTTGTGCACACCAAGAAGTCTGATATATTGCTCATGACCAAATAAAGTGCTCAATTCAGATTTTCATTTTATTTTTTTATTTTTTTTGAGTCCGTCACAGGATGAAATAAAGCTTCCTTCCTGAATTCAAGTGGGGGGTTATGTTTGTTAGTTGGAGCCAAAAGGAGCACGCTCTTAATGTGATATGGAGGAAACGTAGGCCAAAACGGATGAAATGGTTGATGGTGCAACCGCAGTTAGATTTTTATCCTGTTTCAAAGAGAGTGACAGTCGAGGCTACGTCTTTCCACGCCGCGATAAATCAGAGTGGAAGTCTGATGAAATTACAAACGGCAATAATGCAAGAGATTTTTTTGGAAAATCTTGCTTTAGCTGGATGGTTGAAGCTTATTTTCCAGCCTGTGACCCGTCACCTCCTTCCTCCTATTTTCATTTGTTTTTATTTGTTCTCCACATCCGCAGTTCTGTTGAAGTTTCGCACAGACAAAGGCCGCGACCCCGACCCCGAGTCGTGTGCCAACGACAGCCAGCTGCTGAGACAGATCAGAGACGACGTCCTCGAAGCCATAGGGCTGAGCAGTGACCACCTTAGTGACGACTTCATCAGGTGACTCTGGTTTCACAAACAAATCCAGAACTGCAGATTTAGCAAACCAACAAAACATCACCTTTAAATGTCCATCCTACAAAAATAAACTCTGAATGTATTGTGGTTTTCCCTAATTTTCCTTTTTTTGATGAAATATTTTTTTTTTTTTTTTTTTGAAAAAACAACATGAACCAGATTTACTTTAGTCTTGATCAAACTAGGAGGAATCATCTTTTAAAGCCAACTAATTTAATCTATGCAGAGAAAACTATCAAACCGTAGACCATAAAGATTTAGAGGAAGATAAACCAGGTTTGGGCCATTTGGACCTGAAGCTTTGCTACGGTGTTTATTTTGGTTCAAAAATAGCGAAGCATTGTCTGTTTCACCAGTTGATCGCTTTGACTTTCAATGGTAACATAAAACTCTGCTGCTGATAATAATGTAAAGAATCAGGCAACTTAGACACGTTGCATTTAGCAGCGCTGCTAAAATGTGCAAAATTGCTACACTTAATATCAGTCATTTGTTTATGAAAATATGTCAATTTAAACTATAGACTTGTCCAAAACATGAGGATATTATTAAAAGTGAAAAACATTAAGTACTTGATTTAAACACAGGTAGATGTGTCTAAACATTTGTTTCTGTTAATTATTTTATTTTTTTTTTTTCTTATTTTAGACAGATTTTATTTTGTCATTTTGTAAATTTCGTTTTAGTACCGCTCTCTAGACTCTTTCATTTCTTTTTTAAGTGCAGTTAAAAAAAAACACTGTGATGAAGAAAAGTGATTTAAACATACAACCGTATAGTTACAGTTACAACTTTTTTTTTTAGAACCCATTTTATATAACAATTAACATACAACTAAGCATGCTTGTAGCAACAGTGGAGAGGAAAAACTCCCTTTTAACAGGAAGAAACCTCCAGCAGAACCAGGCTCAGTGTGAGCGGCCATCTGCTGAGGCCGACTGGGGTTGAAGGAGACAGAACTGCATATTGACTAACTGAACTTCGACCTTTATCCTGTTCTGTTTGTCCTCAGCTACTGCTTCTCAGAAATGTCTCCGGTTTGCGCCGTTGTGGGTGGAGTTCTCGGGCAGGAGGTGGTCAAGGTGAGCTTCTACACATCAGCTGAGCTATTTTAGCAGATTAGAAATATGAACTCTGTCAAAACGAGGTTGAAACTGATGAAGATGGTGGATCAGCTGACATGTGGCCTCTCGACTGGTTACTGGGTAAGATCCAGGAATACACCAGCTATTTTATTCTGCATGGAAGAGATCGTCGGTGCAAAGATGTAGCGACTGCGTGTGAAATAAGTCAAGCTGCTCTGATGCTTCCACACATAAAGCTTTTTATCAGTATAAAGCAACACAAACTGGCATTTTTCAGCTTTGGTCCTTCAGAAATCATGTTCTTTAGGGTTTTTTAATGTTTCTCTCTTTTTAGAAAGATGTAATGTTCTTATTTTGGTGCTGATTGCACAGCAGTATGAAGCTGGCGCGATCAGAGAGGTTCATGTCTGGGTTAGAGGGAGCAGACGTTTCAGGGTCGGACTGTTGAAGTGGTGATGAAACTCTCTGCAACCTGCGGCCAATGCAGCTCCTCACACTAAACCAAAAATCTATAATACCTCTGAAGTACTGAGAGGGCCGATCAAAGTTTTCAGCTGCTCTAAATGTCTTTCTTCAAAGAATCCAGACCTTCCATGTGTATAATTTCCTTTATAGTATTGTTTTTCAGTTTTTCTTTTGATTGTAGCTGTCAGACCAAATTAATCGTCGTCTTTCTCTTCAGGCTCTCTCCCAACGCGACGCTCCACATCGTAACTTCTTTTTCTTTGACGGCCGTAAAGGTAACGGAGTGGTTGACTACTTCGGACCAAACTGATGATGAGGACCAGAATCTGACCTGAGGACGGTTTAGGACACAAAGATGGCTTCTCTTTTTTCCATCAGATTAGTCATCAACAGAATTCAAACACAAACGAAGTCTGTTGACTTTTACTCTCTTGTCACAGATGTTGTAGGATGCCGTGTGTTGTTGTTTTTTTTACACATGTTAATAAAATTATGTAAACAGATTCTCTTTGACTCTTCTTTTGTGACTCTTCTTTTAAATATGACTTCATAGATTTAGGCCTTAGAAATTCCATAAAACGTGTTTTGTTTTGCTCTGTCAATAAAATGAGTTAAGACAGTTCAGACATCCGCATGACCTTAGAAGTGCTGCACCAATCTGGAAAGGATTATATACGTCTATTATACGGATATAAATACAACTACTTCCAAACTGTATTAAGTTTTTAATTATGAAGTTGGGTTTATAACAGAAACATCACAGCTCTCCAGAAAAGTGTTGGCCTGTTAGTTTCAGGCCAAACTGGAAAAGGTTGAACAATAATGGCTTATTAAAAGGGGTTAAAGAAGCAATCATTAAATTACTATAAAAATAAAACGGCAGAATGGTTCTTAAAAACAATGTTGAATCTGGATCAATCCCAAACAAATTGGTTTTACTTCAGAAACTGCATCTTTAATATCAGCGTACATATTTTAAATCCGATTAATGATCTGGGATTGTGCCGAGCGATTCCTAACTTTAATTCTATTAAAATTAAAGTCTTGATTAATTCTGGAATCAAGACGATGCTCCGTTGCTGGTGTGTTTGGGGTGATCTGCTTAGGTCACACTTTGCAACAGCACTTCCTCTTCAGCTTAAGGCAGCATCTCTTCAAGTGTTATAAGTGTTATAGACCCAACACCACAGTGAGAGAAACCTCTGAATCATGGCGCTTTAACCATGTTTCACAGTCTAAGTTGCCTCTCTCAGCCGTCCTCTTAATACCATTAACATTGAGTCCCCTGGAGCTGATGATGGGGTTAGTGTCTGCTGTTCTGGCTTTTCTTGAATCCATATGAATGGTATTTATTTATTTCTGGGTTTGCTTTGAATTCAAAACACTGGAGATAATTTTAGCTGATTTGTTTCTTTTTCTCAATGTCAAAGCACACTGTTGCTCTAAACAACAGAGACAATTTTATCAGATATTCAGAGAAAATTGCATTTATATGTTAAAGGTACACTATGCAACCGGTGTTGATTTTCCAGCGAGGCTCCCCCCAGAGGGCGAAAGTAAAAGTGCACTGTCGTAAATATGCTCAGCTGTTTTCCTGGTTTCTCCGTCAAGCCAGGCGTGGTTGTTTTGAGCTTAGCAGACAGGCGAACGCAACGAATCACCATGTCTACTGCGGTAGAGAGCCCTTTTCCTCTTTCTTGCCTGCTCCGACATGGCATTTCGCTGTTTTCTTGCTGGTTCCGCCATGATAACTGCACAATTATCGCCAGCAACGAGCAGGCCTTTTACTGGGGGTGTGTAGCAGTTCTCGCCATAAAGCAAAACCGACTCTCGCGATGCACGAGACTTCTGAGCCTGTGGGTGCGGGCCGAGGGCTCCTGCAATTGCAAGTACGGTATTTCCCCTACAGACCACCAGGGTGGCCGAGAAAACCTTTGTTCGACTTGAAATGACTCATTTAGTCATCCAAAACGTTATGGAACACATTAATTAACTGAAAAATGTTGCATAGTATGTCTTTAAGCTGGCTTTATTCTTAATGCTCTTTGTGATACCGTTTAATGAAATGAATGACGTTTTCAAATTAACTCCATACTATTGTCACACTACTAAAAAAATAAAGGGAACACTCAAATAACATCCTAGATCTGAATGAGCGAAATGTTCTCAATTAATACTTTCTGTACAAAGATGAATTTGCTGACAATAAAATCAAACTAAAATCTTCAATGGAAATCAAATTTATCCACCAATGGAGGCCTGGATTTGGAGTCAAAACACTGTGGAAAAATGATGTAATTTGATGTAATGTCCTTAAAATGAGGCTCAGTATTCTGTTTGGCCTCCACGGGCCTGTATGACCTCCCTACAATGCCTGAGCATGCTCCTAATGAGGTGGCAGATTGTCTCCTGAGTGATCTCCTTTCAGACCTGGTCTAAAACATCCAACTCCTGGACAGTTTGTGGCGCTACAGGATGTTGTTAAATGATCGAGACACAATGTCCCATTAGTGCTTAATCGGATTCTGGTCTGGGGAACGGACAGGCCAGTCCATAGCTTCAATGCCTTCATCTTGCAGGAACTGCTGACAAACTCCAGCCTCATGAGGTCTAGCCTTGTCCTGCATTAGGAGGAAGCCAGGGCCAACCGCACCAGTGTGTGGTTTAAAATGGGTCCAAGGATCTCATCTCAGTACCTCATGGAAGTCATGCTACCTCTGGCAAGCTCATAGAGGGTTTTGCGACCTTCCAAAGAAACACCACCCCAAACCATTACTAAGCCACTGCCAAACCCTTCAGGCTGAAGGATGTTTCAGGCCACAGATCACTCTCCACGGAGTCTCCAGACTGTTACGTCTGTCACATATGCTCAGATCGAATCTGGTTCCATCTGTGAAGAACACAGGGTGCCAGTCTTGGTGTTCTCTGGCAAATGCCAAATGTCCTTCACAATGTCATGCTGTGAGCACAACTCCCTTCTAAGGGAGGCCAATGTAGCGGTCCTGCTGCTGGATTGTTACCCTTGTACAGCCTCCTCGATATCTCCTGGTGTACTGGCCTGTCTCCTGGTAGCACCTCCAGTCTTTGGACACTACGCTGACAGACACAACAAACCTTGCCACAGCTCGCATTGATGCGCCACCCTGGATGAGCTGTACTACCTGAGCCACTTATGTGGGTTATAGAGTTTGTCTCATGCCACAATGATGTAAAAGCTCCACCAACATTTAAAAGCGACCTAAACATCTGGCAGAAAGCATAGGTACTGAGAAGTGGTCTGTGGTCCCCGCTTGCAGAACCACTCCTTTAATGAGTGTGTCTTGCTAATTGGCAAAATTTTCAACCTGTTGTCTATTCCCCTTACAGAACTCATGTGAAATTAATTGTCAATCAGTGTTGCTTCTCAAGTGGACAGTTTGATTTGATGGAGTTATTGTGTTGCCAATGTGTTCACTATTCTTTTTTGAGCAGTGTACTTTGAGCACTGGAATGGATGAATGGAAGGCAGCAGCAGAGTCCTCAGCATGTGTCTAATGAATGTTGGTTCTATTAGTTTTCTATGACTCCACTACATCTACTTGTACACGTTTCACCATGTGGTGGTATGTTTTTTTTTCCATTAAATCAGAGATTGATCTGTATTGTCTAGTTCAGGGATCTGCAATCTGTGTAATCCAAAGAGCCATTTTTATATTCAGTCCAGCTAACAGAACTTGTTTAGAGCTGCAAACATGAGACCTTTTTTTTAAAGAGAAAAAGATAACTTATAAAAAAGAATTCCTATGGGTTGCTGAAATTTTTGGAAACTTCCACAAAACAAAAATAAAATCTCAAAAATTTGATTGTTATATTCAGAGTTGATTTATTTGGAAGATGCCACTCAATTAGGCAACTTAGAAAATGCCAATTAGCACACTACTATGTCTAATATATTTATTTTTTTAAAGTATACGTGGCTCTTCATCAATTTTTCGCCAAAGTGATGAAGACCCAATGCACCAGATATGCTGTGCACCTTTAATCTTAAATCATTCATTTTTCATTTTCATTTTTGATTAAACTTATAGTAAAAGTCGAAATATTCTGGTTGAGTTAAAACATATGTACACTCAACAAAAATATAAACGCAACACTTTTGGTTTTGCGCCCATTAAAACTATAAAAAAATTTTCCACATACACAATATAACCATTTCCTTCAAATATTGTTCCCAGACTGTTTTTATCTGTGATAATGATCACTTCTTTGCTGGGATAATCCATCCCACCTCCCAGGTGTGACATATTAAGATGCAGATTAGACACCATGATTAGTGCACAGGTGTGCCTTAAACTGCCCACAATAAAAGACCGCTCTGAAAGGTGCATTTTATCACACAGCAAAATGCCACAGATTTCGCAAGATTTGAGGGAGCGTTCAATTGGCACGCTGACAGCAGGAATGTCAAACCCAGCTGTTGTTCGTGTGTTGAATGTTCATTTCTCTACCATAAGCCATCTCCAAAGACATTTCAGAGAATTTGGCAGTACATCCAACCAGCCTCAGAACTGCAGACCATGTGTAACCACACAGGGCAAGGACCTTCACATCCAGCATGTTTAGCTCCAAGATCATCTAAGACCAGCTGCTGAGACAGCTTCTAAAACAATTGGTTTACATAACCAAAGAACTTTACCACAAACAGAGAAGCTCATGTGCATGCTCGTCGCCCTCATTGAGGTCTCTACCTGACTTCATTTTGTCGTTGTAACCAACTTCAGTGGGCAAATGCTCACATTTGCTGGTGTCTGGCATGTTGGAGAGGTGTTCTCTTCATTGATGAATCCCTGTTTACACTGTTAGGGGCAAATGGCAGACAGCAAGTGTGGTGTTGTGTGGTTGAGCGGATTTCTGCTGTAAATGTTGTGGATCAAGTGGTGTTATGGTATGGGAAGGCATCTGTTATGGATGAAGAACACAGGTGCATTTCTATTGATGGAATTTTGAAAAACACAGAGATACAGTGACGAGATCCGGAGGCCCATTTTTGTACCATACATCCCAGAACATCACCTCATGTTGCAGCAGGATAATGATAGGCCCCATGTTGCAAGGATCTGTACCTACGTCGTGGAAGCTGAACACATTCCAGTTCTTGCATGGCCAGCATACCCACCGGACATGCCACCCATTGAGCATGGTTGGGATGCTCTGGATCGGCGTATACAACAGCATGTACCATCCATCAATCCATTTTCAGACATGCTTAATCCCAAGTGGGGTCGTGAGGGGTGCTGGTGCCTATCTCCAGCTGTCTACGGGCGAGAGACAGGTTGCCAGTCCATAGCAGCAGCATTTACCAGTTCCTGCAAATATCCTGCAACCTCGCACAGCCATTGAAGAGGAGTGAAACAACATTTCACAGGCCACAATTGATAACCTGATGAACTCTGTGAAGATGATGTGTTGCATTGTGTGAGGCAAATGGTGGTCACACCAGATACTGACTGGTTTTCTTAGAGCAT